TTTTAAATACTCAAAAAGAGGTCTCAACTATAAAACTGTATCAATTTCCAATGCCTTATTACTCAATAAATATTATTATTATTATTACCGTACCGGATCTATCCCGAAGTAGTCAGCACCGGATTCTAACTTTGACTACTACGTAACCGACCCGTAAAAATTATATGTTGACTACTGTAACTTCATTCTGGCGCTGTGTCATTTTTTTGTGAAACTAAGACTAAAAAACATCTAAAAACAACAAACAAACGTACAGTCCACTTTTTAGTAATAAATGTCTACTGCAATCCAAGTACACCTGCAGCCAAATGTATTTATTTAAAATAAAGTTAACAAACAACGAAGGCCAGAGATGCACTGTCATCTTTCAGAATTAAGATGTAATGCCTCACAGGCGTAATTATTCTGGCTATCTAAACCCTCTAGACCGGAACACGGTAGTGCAAGCACTGTTGTTTGGCGATAAAAAAATTTAACAGTGGTAGAGCCACGCGGCAGCTTTTGCTGTCGCACGGATGGGCCGGCTCGAACCGGGGTGTCTGCGTTTCGCTTGGTGAGTGCAGGTGGCCGGAGGCCCTTTTTACTGGAAATGAGGCATTATATCTTAGTCCTCACGGGTGACGACGCATCTACATTTTGATTTGTAATAGATAGATGTAGATGTCTATGGGCCGCAGCAACCACTTACCATCAGGTGGACTGTGTGCTCGTTTGTCACCCTTATCCTATAAAAAGGTGAGATTGTGGTAACTACCCAGACGTACACTAGGTACAAAGAGTCCTACTGCTACCCAGTGAAATTATAAAATTATAACTGATGGACTTAATAATAACTTTTTATGTTAGTAACAAATGAAGTCACATATGATTAATTACATTAGTGAATGAATGCTATGGCCTTAAATACCTACATTTATTCTTAATTAAGAATGACAAGTCAGATTCCTTATCACCCCTGAAGTGCTCAGCGAGGACTCTGTTAAAATGCCTCGTTACCAAAACCTTCGGTTTCTGTCATGCCATAGAGGAAAAAAAGCACCATAGTGATATTTTATACTGTCATTTCGTGCCAGCGTGTTCCTTTCCTAGTCAAGTTCCCCATTCATGCTGGAGTCATTATACGCAGCAGTGTGGCTCTACTATGAAATATAAACTGCAACCAACTTCGGACAAGAAAGGCTACCGAAGTATTGTCACTCATAATGAACAGATAATGAAACAACCCATAATCCAAATCCAAAGCAAAAAACGAGCTATTAGGTAGTGAGGCTGCCTAATACCTTAATGTATTATGTAATTATGTACTCTAAGTAATATAGTAGCTTTTTAAATCTGGGATTCCTCAAGACAAGTAAATGGGCTGTTAGAGATAGATAGATAAAACTTTAGTGTACGCCAAAAATAACATAAATATTAACAAAAAATGAGAAAAAGAAATGTGGTATAATGGGCGGTCTTATCGCTACGAGCGATCTCTTCCAGACAACCTTTGGATGGACAGGATTGCAAGAAAACAATAAAAACGTGTGTGGTTTGGCGACAAAAATAACATTATTTTTATTAAAGCCATAAAATAGAAATATAGAATGGTATATAAGTACACAGATAAGATAAATACATACATACTTATTAATATATATGTATATATGTACATATAATTTATAAATATATAAAAGTACAAATATATACTTTAAAACTATTACATATAACATAAAACTGTTATTATATATAGTTGTTTTACACTAAGGCAATTAAATTTTCTACCTAGGTTCATCACCACAAGTAAGGTACCGCGTACCGTAGATTCTATGGACTCACAATTTGGACATGTTATCTTGTTGCATTAGACATAGCGTAGACAAACTTGTATTGAATTTCCAATAATAATTTCCGCCTCCTCCGATTTCACCTACAACTTTATATCGTTGCGTCAATGGTGTAAAATATCATTTTAAATGTTAACACTTCTGGACTTTTATTATTATAGACGATAATGGATGTCGTTATTTTTACATTTGGCCATAACCGATGAGCACTTAAGTTTTTATAGTATTATGCTATTAATCTGTTTGACACATTGCAAATTTTATTCTGAGGCTCTTGATTTAGTTAAAATACTTCGATAGAATAACTGCCAATAAGTATTGGCTATTAATAACTATATATGTCATTGGTAAGGTTTCGTTCGTTATTATAGCTTCTAGCCCATAAAAATCCACTGCCGAACATGGGCCTTTCATGTTCATGGAAGAATTTGTGTTAATCGCCAGTTGCCACGGCTTTATTTGCAACACCCAATCTACTTGTCAAGCGCAGGTAGATTGGGTATTGCAAATCCAGGCGCGTTTTTATTTATAGGAGAGGGGTCAAACGACCTTTCTTGCTTTTCCCCGTCGCCGGCCTAGGTGAGTATTTTAGGTGTTAAGTCTGGGGAGCGGACAATGCTCCGTTAGTATGTTAGTTTGTTTTATATATAAAGTCGTTCAGAAAACAGCAAAGTTAAGGTTCATTATTGTTTTAGAGTCGCGACGACAGCGCCACCAAACTTTAATATCAATTTTAACGGATCATGGGTGTGGTTTCTGGCTAGGTTAGCGAGACCAACATACGTAAAAAAGGCGTATATAATATAAATATATATATTTTATTTAATTTTAAAGTATGCGTGTACTAACCTATTGCACCTGTTTAACACAATATTTAAAGTTATTTATCACATAAGTGTTACAAAGTTTTCCTTACTTAGTATTTTAATTTAAACAGACGGACGGCAGGAAGATAGCTTAGAAGTCATAAGAGATCCACGGCCACTTAAAGATGAGCAACCACTGCGGCGAAAGCAGTTGTGTGGTCACCCTTAATAACTAAGATGGAATGCCCATGATCCGTTTTTATGGATCTCATACACTTTATAGTAAATCAGACTAGTGGAGCCAACCACGAATATAAGAGCAGTGATAGCTCAGGGGCTAAATTATATGTATAAGGGGTTAAATTTCACAATACACGAGCAACCTGGGTTCAATCCCCGCCGGCACCAATGAAATTATTAATTGAAATTTTAAGTGCTGATTTACCACGTGCTCGGCGGTGAAAGAAAACATCGTGAGGAAACCTACACGTCTGAGAAATAAGAAAAAAATATTTTAAATAAATGTGAACTTCGCCAACACGCATTGGGACAGATTTCCTTGGGGGACATTTCCTTGCCCTATAACCTTCACAGAAATGGCCTGTACCTTTAGAAATGAGAGGAGGGCTGTAACTTTAACTTGTGTAAGCACTAATTATCGTTACCAAAGAGGTACTTTGTACCAACTTAGACGTGCCGATTCTATCGAGGTAAGACAGTGCGGTGGTCAAAACAGGCTTGGAGACTATTGTTAAATTACACATAACTTCACTTAATCATTCATTACATATACCAATGATTGCTTCATAGGTGTATTTTTGTCATAGTTGACATGCTTGGCTGTCGGATTGGCAATCACACTTTTTTATTATTTTAAACATTCATCAACAAGATACTGTTGCCTATTTCCTGTTTCAGTTTCCTTTTGTTGTCTCTTTTTACGTCACTATTACACGGCAAATGTTTATACGTGGTAGAGCCACGCAGCAGCTATATTATTTTGTCGCACGAATGGGTCGGCTAGATCGGGGAAGAACTGCGCTCTTACAGAATACTAACGTTAAATAGCAACTTAATGCTGCTGTTTTTTTTATTTTATAGGACAAGTGTGACAAACGAGCACACAGTCCACCTGATGGTAAGTGGTTGCTGCGGCCCATAGACATCTACATCTATCCTCTATTACAAATCAAAAATGCATATGCGTTATCACCCGTGAGGACTAAGATGAAATGCCTCATTTCCAGTAAAAAGGGTCTCCGGTTCTCTACACTCACCATACGAAACACAGCAGCATTAAGCTGCTATTTTACGCTGGTATTCTATGAGACCGCAGTCTCTTCCCCGATCTAGCCGACCCATTCGTGCTACAACTATACTACTAATATAGCTCCAGCATGGCTCTACCACGTAAAAGATGCTGTGCTTCGTATAGTAAATTTAGAGAACCAAAGACCCATCTTTCTTTAAACTAGGCATTTCATCTTATCCCTCCGGGCTGACAACGCATCTGCATTTTGATTCTTAATAGAGGATAGATATAGATGTCTATGGGACAGCATCCACTTAACATCGTGGTATTTACTATTTAACTTGGTGGTAAGACTTCTATTCCGCCTTGGAATCCGAATGAAAAATGCGTTGGTAGAACCCTTTTATTTACTTCTACCGCCAAGCAGCAGTGCGTGCACTGTTGCGTTCCAGTTAATTTAGTTCGCTTGACATTTCAATTTCTTAAAAAAAATATGATAAGTAATTGTCACTGTTATACTCCTAGAATCGATTTAAGTAGGAAAAATTTGGGATTTTTACAAGATTCATAAAGAAGAAGAACAGGTAATGTTAACATGTTTAACACATTAATCATTTATTAATTAATAAGAATGCGGTCGGCTACTCGCCTGCTTGGCATACACCCGTGGCAAATATCCCCCTATCTAAAGGGGAAGTGTTTGTTCAGTCATCAACTTTTGGTACGTTGTAATGATGATGATGACGATGATGACTAATTATTTCGCAAAATATATTTTGTATATTGAAATTTTTAATTATATACAATATTAAAAACTATAATAATAAAAAAAAACTAATAATATTATTTTATTGAAACACTAATAATATTATAAAATAACATTTCACTACTCGAACAAACAACCTTACATATTTTATAATTATAGTTTTCATTCATATTTATAAAAATCTAGTTTTTGAAAATTTAATACCGGATTTTTAATAAATATTATTAATTACACAAAGATATCAATAAACATTATAGAATACATGCCTTTCTGGATATAAAACTTGAGTAAAATATGAATATATGCTAGAGACAACGCTAAACAATGATCGAAATAATCGTAAAAATATGTCAAGATGAAACGATAGTAGTGGGACTTTGAAAGCGAAATCTATTATACGGCAAATCTAAAGTGTAATCCGCTTGGACCTCTCCTGGTCTCGTTGCCAAGTCTGCGAAAGAAATCGGTGCATCAATAACAGTTAATTCCGAAGTTGAAGGTCCGGGGTAAACTGGGAAAATTCTGGCCTCAGAGTTCTTCCTTGATTCTTCGGATATTTCTGAATTAGAATTTACTGACTCTTTCAGGTTTTCTTCATTTGTTTTAACTTGTACTCTATTCAATTTTGTTTTTATCATATCAGAGTTCGGCCCTGGTCTATAAATTGTCATTGATGGTAATGTGGTTTGTGGCGAAATATCTGGTGATTTCAAATTATGAATGCTTCTTTTTTCGAAGTGATCGTAAGGGTAAGGATGATAAATTCCGTAGTTCAGCGGAGTAGGAGCAATCTGGAACAGAACATCTGTTAACACATTATCAATGTGAATTTTATTAAGTGCTTCTAACAAGGATTTGTGAGAAATGTTTGTAACTCTTTATTAAACGAATTAGTACATAATGACATATTATAAGCACAAGAGAAAGATGAGCCATTTATCGTTTTTATACAGTCATACTAATTTCCCCTGTCATGATAACCTTCATAACCAGTGTCTACCTAAAAGATAATGTTAATTTTAATACTGGATTAGTACTCTTAGATATACAGGGTTATTTTGCAATAACCAACCAAATTTAATAATTAAGTTCAAAATATAAATACTGACATACGCCTTTGCAGTTTTGAGAAATAAAGTTCTTTTTAGTCACATTAAATTTCAGATATTTGAAAATACCTGAAGCTGAATGTGATTTATGGGCAACAAAACGCGCGCTCGTGTGTGTACGAATCAAGGCACAGAAATTTTGCCTACTATTTACTTCTTTTATTAAGTTGTTAACTACGAAGCGAATTATGATTTCAATTTGCTCTTCATACTTTAAACGGGTTTAGGACTGTCATAATAAAAAAAAATACATTTCATCGACGACTGGAATAGATGATATGCAAATAAAAAGTTCTGCACACCTCGAAATAAATAATATTTTTACACCCACACAAAAGACAGTTCGAAATACAAGTTTAGACTACAGAGACAGGGAAAGAGGTGAAGAATAAATGTAAACAAGTAGTTGTAGAAAAGATAGTTGAGCTGGATGCCAATGATAGGTTGGCGTAATTTAAATAATGGTTACTCAGACGGCGCGAGCACTGAAGGCATTTAAAAGCTGACTAGCTGGCACTGGCCGGTGAAAGCGACATAATATAATTTTAAGTTTACGATGTTAATAATTTGATAGGTATATTATATTGTTATACTAACATTATTGTTCTATCGTAATATAAAAAATAATAATAATTACTTTTTTAAGTCCTTGTATAGAAGCAAGTATAAGTGCCATTTTGGCTAAAAGTAGAGCTTTTCCTCCGAGTACTGCGAGGAATTGAAAACCCATTGGAATCAACACCATACCGATTGACACGATACCGAACATCATCATTGTCATCATATGGTGACGCCGACGTCCACGAGATTCAACTAAAATAATAAAGGACTATTATATAGATAATATTATATATAATACTAATAGATAATACGATATAAAGATTACAGCAGCAAGAAATTAGACCCTTTTCTTTTAAGTTGGTTATAGGTGTCCATGGCTGCATTAGGCATGAACCATCAGGTAGACTATTGGATCGCTTGTCATATCAGTATCTTTAAAAGTTTTTTTAAATTATGTGAAATTGGAAGTAATAAAATTTACTTTATACATTTAATTTGAACTCAATTCCTGATAGAAACTGTCCCATAGTTCCAAGCAATTATTTTTAAGAACCTATCTATCTCTTCACTTATCTTATAAAGTAAGCAATAAGGTTTTTAAAATATTAAATTTTATAAAATATTAACGCTCGTCGAACTCTTACCTTTAACGCCAAAACTTGAGTTACTCAATTTGCCTTAATTTCTATAATAATTATTATATTATAATAAAATATTTCACGCGCATATAAAGTACCTTAACATGGATTGGGATAGCTTGGCGGTCTCTTTCCGGTCACAAAAGCTCTTTCAAAAATAACGGGATATCAATGCCCCACTTATGGGCTAACTTACGTATATTTTAAAATATTAATCTTTAATCCTTACCTGTATCAACGATTTTTGTGTCTTCAAAATCAAATTTTATTACGTGAGTCCGAAGTACTTTTGCTATACGGCGCAAGGCAAGAATTTTCCATTCTCCTTCATCTAGTTCTTTTTCCGTCCATGTGCTGTAGATACATATTATTTTAACAAAAACTACTAATGTTCATTTCAATTTTCAATTTCAAAAAACATGCGTGAGTGTCGTGGAATCCTCGGTTGGAACGAAGTCCCTTTCGTAGGTTATTATTATTGATAAAAATGTTATATTATTGATCAATAAATGCAAATAAATGAATTACAAGCGTCTATTAAAATAAAGAGTTATTTAAAATAATATTTCATTCTTGGCAAGAAAAAGTGCAAGGGAGATGTATATTATTCCATCTCGCTCGCACTATAGAAAAGAGGTCGTGACAAAAAATATCTTACACTTTTTCTCGCCTAGCCCCAATCCGTCCAATTCGTACCGTGCGATAAGGAACTTCGTTCCAAAATTTATTTCAAAATATAATACACAATACTTTAAAGTGACACCCTTCCTTCATGTTACGAATTTCATTCCTTCTCCTGCATCAGCCGTAAAAGTCCACTACTGGACGTCGGCCCCTACCTGGACATATCTTTTAGACATCCGTTCGCTTCTTTTTTCTGAATCGACGATCCTTTCCGATATCAGTATGGGCGTTTAAGTCTATGGCTCAGATTATAATTGAGGTCTATCGTAAGTGAGACGGTTATAGCTCATCTATCGAAGCCATAAGATTTTTCAGGCATTTACCATAGTCGCTTCTTACGATAAGATCCAAGAGTTAATGATCAATGAATGAAGGAAAGAGTTTTGTTCAGAACAAAAGCAATACTTTGTGTTCTGCAAGTATTACTTTCAACCTTCTAGTGGTAATTTATGAATATCCACTACCTCATGTCGCCCCGTGGTTGTCGTAAGAGACGATAAAGTAAAACAAACCAGGAGTTGATGGTTTTTTTTTGTTATAATTTATGTGTCAAACAAACTTATTTCTTTCTTTCTTTCTAGAGGGGTAGTAGCACGTTCAACTAGCAGGTTGGTAGCCGCAGTTTTTTATTTTTAGTCGTTTTTAGGAAGACTCTGCTGCCCATCTCGTATGATATGTGATCGGATGATATGGGGTAGTGCATATTCTTACGTCGTCATTACATGGTAACCCTATATTGCAGGTAGGCCTATGTTCAACAGTTGACTGTGACGGTAAGTATTATTTGAATATTTCGCTGCTGGATGTAAGCAGCTGAGCCTTTTACAACAAAAAACGGGACGAAATGGGATGTATATACTCTTACGTCGCCATTACATAGAAATTACATTAATTATATTCTACATTGTGTTTTTTTTTTGCTCAATGGATTTTATAACCCATTCCCTATGTCACTACACATGGCTCATTAGTATTGTGTCTGAAAATCGAGCAGTGAAAGTGTCAAGGCATTGTTAAACTATTTTATTTAAATTTTTATTATCTCTGTTATCAAGAGTCTATTTCATTCAAGAGTTTAATTTATTTAACGTTCACTTAAAAACACTAACGGCTTGTTTAAAATAATATTTTCGGACAGCCTCTAAGTAGTACACTAGATATGTGTGTTCCATGAGTTACTCCTTTATCACCTCAGTTGGCAAGTGTTTGCTGATCACAGCACCAGTAATTAGAACCCTACTTGAACTCGTTGTTCTAATCTGGATGGTAATTTCGATATTTATGAATGTCATACTATCTTACATTATTGTAATTAAAAAATGAGTCACAAACCTAATAACTATGAATGTATAAAAAGTTTTCAATAATTATAATGCAACATGTATTCTAAACAGTCTTTTGGAAGTTCAGAATTTGAATAATTTTTTTTTATAGGATCGGGTGACACACGAGCACACAGTTCACCTGATGGTAAGTGGTTACTGTGACCCATAGACATCTACATCTATCCTCAATAAAGACTCAAGATGCAGATGCGTTGTCACCCGTGAGGATTAAGATGGAATGCCTCTTTGCCAGTAAAAAGGGTCTCCGGGTCTCTACACTCACCATACGAAACACAGCAGCGTTAAGCTGCTATTTTACGCTGGTTTTCTATGAGAGCGTGGTCCTTCCCCGTTCGAGCCGACCTATTCGTGCTACAACCATAATATAGCTGCAGCATGGCTCTACCACGTAGAAAAAATTTATACTATTTAATTTTAAATTTAAAGGGTTTCTTGATTGAGCGTATACATTACAATCTGTAAGCTATTCATTTAACGAAGATATATAAGTTATTTAACATTGTTAGGTTGTAATATCAAATACTGCTAAATGAATAGATTTTTTTTTGAAGGTAAATTTAATAAAAATTTTCAATACAAAAGTGGTATAAAATAAAGCATATCTTACAAGTACTTTACAAATATGCATCCGTTTGGAATACCTACTGTGCTGTTTCGTCACACAGTTGTAATTGGAGCGTGTGTTTGCGCAATTTCATTTGAAACACACATTCAATGCGACGTTAACATATTTATCTTTCGGTCATTAACTTTAAACATTAGGTCCTTACATATGAAATTGGCGTTTTGTACGGAAGGAATATAAAGTCAATTTTTTCGTAATATATATTTAATTAATCAAAGTATGCACCGTTGTTATCTATGCACTTTTGCCATCTCATAGGTTTCCTACAGCAGCATTATGCTCCTAGGTTTTACTGGCATTCTGTACGACTTTTCTCCTCCCCCTAAAACGGCTGCACCGTCGTTTTACCATTTGAATTATATTGTAGTATCAAAATATCACTGTTCTTCATTGCTATTATAATATAGGACTATAAAACATAACTTTGAAAGTTAATAATATTCATTTAAAAATATTAAGTTAAGCTATTGAATATGAATACTTTCGGTCAAAACATTATAACTTGAGAAGTTATTTTATAGTTACTTTATAGTATACTTTCCCCGAAAGAACACACTACAAAGTACGCAAAACAAAGCACCCTAAAAATTACGTTCCCAAGCTACCTGCATACATGGGCTTTTTAATATCTTACCAAGAAAGAAAGAACGATAAAGAACGCAAGAACCTTTCTTCCTCACTTCGAGCTATACGGTCGGTCAATTGCTAGTTCAGTTGGGCTATGTCGTTTACTCTGGTTCTATGGCGGATATCCTCATTATGAAGTCTATCAAAATAAACCTTACCTGGAACTATTAATAGGTAATGCATTGCCAGATCCATCAACCAGCTCAAATCGCACTAAGTTGATTCCATCCGATATTGGTACAACATCTGAACTAAGAGATCGATCAAGAGCTTGTAAAGTCTTTATTTTCATGCATCCAATGAACTTAGGAAAGTGTTCCTTGCGGTCAATAATACCCTTCACGTCCAATAACTGAAATATAAAAACCGATATAAACTTTAGCAAAAGCTATTCAAATGAGTAAACTTATTGACCTCATTTCTGAATTTAAGGGTTAGATGTAGAATAAGTCTTTCGATTATATGACAATCGTGGACATTGTTCTATTCGAAGTAATTATTTTAATATTGAAAAATATGACATTGTCGTTTATCAATATGTATGGACTAAAAAAAATGTATTACATTAATTTCGTAAGAATAATATAAACATACATGTATTTATAACTAATAGTCAATTTAAAGTTAAGTCAAACAATTTTTAGAAAGTAATAGAAAAATAGAATTATTATATTAATAATTTAAATAGTAGGTAATATCCATCGGTGACCAACTTAAATTAAATTCGAAAGTACAATCACAAATAAAATTAAGTTGTGCTCTAAATACACGAGTGTAGGGCACTACCCTATCGTTTTTATGGTTTCGTACCCAAAGGGTAACCAACGGGACCCTATTACTAAGCCTCCGTTGTCCGTCCGTGTCTGTCTATCAGTGGGCTCTTGATCTGTAATAGGTAGACAGTTTAAATTTTCACAGAATGTGTATTTCTGATGCCGCTATAACAATAAATAATAAAAATAAAAATAAATTAAAAATTAAAGGGCTCCCCGAAAGGGCTACTTGATACGTTTTTAAATAAAACTAATTTTACGGATTTTATCGCGTATATTAACTTATTTTTATATTCCCGTAGCACCCGAAACGTCGGGAATATAAAAATAAGTTAATATACGCGATAAAATCCGTAAAATTAGTTTTATTTAAAAATGTGTAGTGTTCGCGTAAATATAAGAAATCACTACTTGATACGTGTTTTACGGCAGTACGGAACCCTTCATGCGCGAGTCCGACTCGCACTTGGCCGGCTTTTTATTACAGGTACCTTCTAGAATAAGTAAATACCTTTCCATAAAGAACGCCGAAAGTATACGAGAGATGATATAGAGCTAGTAATAAGTGACGTGTGGATATGAGAGAATTCAACACTCCCTGTCGTCCCTTAGGTGATTTAAAAGTTGACTATGGGAAATCATACCTCAAAATGGAAAGGCTTCTTGGCTTCCGACAGACGATGGTGTTACGATACCACTTACACCAGATGTAAATACCAAGACTGGCAATGAGAAACAATGTCAAAGGTACGAAGCGCTTAGAAATATGATCGCAAATCAAAACGAAGAAAGTAATATAAATTAGCAAGGTATTACTTTGAAGCCATAATGCGCAAAATATGTGCCTCCATGCTGAATCGCATGCGGACGAGCACCAACATCATTCTCAGTGTACTAGCGGACAGATGGGATTCACCAATGATAGGGAGTTGGATAAATCTGCATACTTTAAATTAGACACGCCACGACCTATAGACTTAGTATTTTGATTTTAATTTCATTTAATGTTTATATTTATTAATTTTAATTTTCTTTAATTTTATAGGTATTTAGATTATAATTTTTAACAAATATGGATAATTGGTCTGAAATAAATGAATTATTATTATAATAATTATTATTTTAATAAAATATTTTGCATTTCACCTAATGTTTGCATATTTTACGATATTAAATTCGTTTTGAATAAAACCTTTTCGCCGTTTTCAGTTTTCTAGTAAGATTACTTAAAAACCAATAACTACACGTTCAAAACCTTTTTTACTCACGTACAATGTACTGTCCGAATCTTTCCAAAACCCGATTCAAATCGTTATAATAAAAAGTAATAAACTGGGCTTACGATGTGGAATGGTTATTTTGGGCGAATTTTTCTTTCGCAAAATACTAGGAAAAGGGTATTGTAACTATATTTATCTTTACAGAGAACGAATTTCATTTTTATGAGATTTTGACGATCGAATTCGAAACCGTACTGAATTTTTATATTAACAGTATTAAAAAAAATCTTCTATAATTTTCTGTTGTTTACATAACAATAGTCGATCTAACTATATACGTGCACGGACTGTATTCAATGAGGCATTAGTTACTGTGCTGGAGTTGGTCAAAGAGCTTATCACTGAACTGAGCTAGGATTAACGGACTCCGACAAGATATCTATTTAAGAGGATTTTAACAGTGTTACATCTGTATCAATATTATTACGGAACTAATGTATTAAATTAATGTATTTATAACAAAGGAGGCTATTGTGTGATCTAGCGTTCAGAGTACTACTTACGAGCTTAGAAACCGGTATTAGAATAATAAAAAAGTATGAAACAAAGTCGCTTCGATCTTTTAAAGAGATTTTGATGCGGTTTTCATCAATAGACAGAATGACTCAGGAGGAAGGTTTATATGTATAATACATGCATATTATATATTATATAATTCTTCTGTCCGTGTGTATGTGACTGAACTCCTCCTAAACGTCTGGACCGATTTTGATGAAATAGTCGTAGATGTGATTAAGTTGATTAGAGAATGGTTGAGATTCACAATTGGACCCGGTAGTTGGCGTTATTGTCACGATCTAGAAATCAACCGTGCGTTGTTAGTATACAAAAAATACTAATTGGTTTCTAGTTCTGACCTATCCTATCCTCCATATATATATATATCCCTATCCTGTAAAAAAAGCCAATCGTTCCCTTCCTCCGACTTTATATAATAAGTGTTACATTGAACATAGTAGTGTTGGGATAACAAAGTGCATCTATGTTGCATTATAATATGACCTGAAGGGAAATTAAATATCATTATATTACGCGGTAGAACCATGCTGCAGCTATATTAGTAGTACAGTTGTAGCACGAATGGGTCGACTCGACCGGGGAAGGACCACGCTCTCACAGAAAACCAGCGTAAAATAGCAGCTTAACGCTGCTGTGTTTCGTATGGTGAGTGTAGAGAACCGGAGACCGTTTTTACTGGCAAAGAGGCATTCCATCTTAGTCCTCACGGGCGACAACGCATCTGCATCTTGAATCTTTATTGAGGATAGATGTAGATGTCTATGGGTTACAGTAACCACTTACCATCAGGTGGACTGTGTGCTCGTTTGTCACCCTATCCTATATAAAAAAAAAACATAAATTTATTTCATCAACTTTTATTAACTATACTCTTTTCATATTCTTTATAAGCTTTCACACGTTTATGTTCTGATCTTATGTGCATTCATAATAACGTCGGTATATTAATACAAAGATGATATCCGTTGGCACTAATATAGTCTTGGATGATGAAAAATTAATTAACTAAAATTTGATCTTATAATGTACTAGTGTGTAAAAATTGGCAGAGTATGTATTATTTTGAAAATCACGTATTATTAAATTAGGCTGTTGGTTTTTCATACTTACAATTTATATATCCTTCTATAAAAAAAGAAGCAATAACGCTTCCAAATTTACGTATATTAGTAATTATTTATTGTCTACGAAATTTAAAATGAATTCTTTTTTTTTTCATTATCAGTCCACTGTTGTAAATGGCTGTCACCCATTGTAGGGCAGGCTACAACGGAACTCTACTCAGATAAAGTAAATATCTTAACATAAATGAAATAAATTTTATTTAGAATATAGTTTCACTGCTAAGTATGTGTTAAGAACATATGATGTCAAACCACTAAATTACTGCATAAGTTTTTTAAATAATATTCTTAAAAAAGTTTTAATATCTTAAGAATTTTCCAAAAAAAAAATCTGTTTTAAATATAGTGAATTATTTGTCGATTCCACAGTTCGAATCTCTGTCGGAGTTAAACAGCAAAGTTACAACCCATATACCTCTCACTCCGGGGCACAGGCCTCCTTGTGTTTCTGAGAGCGTTTTTAGGGCAAAGAAGAGTCCACTGCGCTGTCTCAATGCGTATTGGCGGACTTCAGTTCACGTGATAAATCAGCACTTAAGAGGGCTACAAGAGCTAAGTGACTGCGAATGAAAAACACACGCACACGTTTACACAATTTATATAGTCAGGCCTCGGCCGGTACTGCCGGTACTCCAGGCGTTTATGCACACATACGTACGTATTATATAATAATAATAATAATAATAATAATAATATTCCACAACTATCACACAAATACTTATGTTCAGAAATAAGAAAATGCGATTTAAAAAAAATCTTTTGATTGGACTAAAAATTAAAACTCTATTGTGTTGTTGCTTTTAGAATAAACTGACAAAAATCAGAATGATTGCACATATATAAGTATGGTTACTAATCGTTAAAAGAAATTTTTATCTTGTGATTTTTTTTCTATCATATCAAATTAGTAGTATCATATTTTCAACACACTACCTAACTAGCATATTATATCCTGAAAAATATCATATATTTTTCGGATTTTGTTAACTGCAGTGGATTATATTTTTTTTTATAGAATTAGGGTGATAAACGAGCACACAGTCCACCTGATGTGGACTGTGTGGTAAGTGGTTGCTGTGACCCATAGATATCTACATATATCCTCAATAAAGAATCAAAATGCAGATGCGTTATCACCCGTGAGGACTAAGATGGCATGCTTCTTTTCCCATAAAAGGGGTCTCCGGTTCTCTACACCTATCATACGAAACACAGCAGTGTTAAGCTGCTAATTGACGCTGGTATTCTGTGAGAGCGTGGTCCTTCCCCGGTCGAGCCGACCCATTCGTGCTACAACTATACTAGTAATATAGCTGCAGCATGGCTCTACCACGTTGGAACGTATATACTTTAACCTATATACATTAAGGAATTATAAAACTTTTAAACGTTTAGCTCCCGTAGTCCCCTTAAAATTGCAATTAACAATTTTATTGGTGCCGGCCGGGATCGAAACCGTGTTTCTCACGTACTGTTAAATTTATAGCGAGCGCTAAACCCTGAATTACCACGAGCCAAAGTTTAATGTAAAACAAATTGCTGATTCTGGTTGGGTAGTGATGTCAAAAGGCGACTTTATAGTTATGTTAGACAACATATCTCTGATAATGCATTCTAGCTTTCTTCCGATCTATTCCGATTTAAACAGTGGTAGAGCCACGCGGCAGCTTTTGCTGTCGCACGGATGGGCCGGCTCGAACCGGGGTAGTACCACGACCTCACAGAAAACCAGCGTCAAGTAGAGGTTTACCTCTGCGTTTCGCTTGGTGAGTACAGGTGGCCGGAGGCCCTTTTTACTGGAAATGAGGCATTCCATCTTAGTCCTCACGGGTGACAACGCATCTACATTTTGATTTGTAACAGAGGATAGATGTAGATGTCTATGGGCCGCAGCAACCACTCAGGTGGACTGTGTGCTCGTTTGTCACCCTTATCCTATAAAAAAAAATATCGCATCTACATTCGGTACCGGTGGTTGATGACGAATGAGTAGTTCTGTGTTATTGTTGTTTTTAAATTATATTTTGCTATTATCGTTGGGCAGCCTACATTTGTGGCAACATAATGTCTAAGGTGAAGTAAAGTTATCGAAAATATTAAGAGGTTGTAGCAATCAAAATCGGTCAGGAGACATTTTCATTCATACCTTTTTAGAGCAATCCCGCCAAATTATTTTCAAAATATCAGCTCCTTCTAGCCATAAGTCTGCAATAAAGCGGCTTAAATATGTTTCCGAATCCTCAGCTTGAATTCCACGACAACTGTATATTAAGGTCAGTGACAAAAGATGAACAAGTGTGCGTCTCATATCGGACCGCGACTGCTTTGTCACGTAATTCATTTTGTTGCCTTTTTTGCCATGTCTCAATATATATTTGTACACCCAACGGCGATAAATCTGAAGTCAAATTAAAGTTTTTCAAACGTTAGCTTCAAAATATCATTTTGAATAAAGATAATGCCGTTCGTTATATGCTGAATTTACCTAAACTTCAGAATCTTTTAATAACAGTCTATTAGCCTTCGTAACTGAATAGCGACAGTTGCCTAATGGTTAAGGGTGCGGACCGAGAATCAAAATTTTTGTAGTTTATCTGGAGTAGTTAACAGGAATATTAGTAAGGTAAATACCATTACTAGTAATAAGAAACAGGATTGACATTAAGGCATCAGGCCCATAAGAGGTTTTCGAAACCACGTTCCAAGTACATGGTTTTCCTATAGGTGTAGTAAGGGACGATTGCGGGAAGACTAGAAAGAACTCGTGGATTATGATAGATGATAAACAGTTTCGTTTAAACTGGACTAAAAAAAATTGCGTGAATTAGCGTGACGATTATACCAAATACTTCCTACGGCCATTAGTGAACTTTCCGTGTTGATAACAAATAAAAGGGTGAAGATATTCTGCATATGTCATGATACAATTGGCTTTGTCTCAACGTTGTATATAAGTATTGTTATACCACGGACTCATATCGTGTAAGTCCTTCAGCTTGACTTACATTTTGGAGATAAAATGGACCTAGTTACATTTTGCATTTTGTTTTAGTGAAGCTTTAGCAATTCAAGCGCAATGTTTAGTTATTTACTATCTTAGAAATATCTAGAAATAAAACATTCATATAAAATGCGGCATATCCAATGTGGCAGCATAATCTGGCTTATAAGAGAATAAATTCGAGAATTATATGAAATTATATAATAATCATATACGCAATACGCATGCATGACTTTTTCAAGTATTTGTTGGTGGGTGACAGGCGTGGGAGTGTAATTTAATATTTTTTATGATATTAAAATTTCAGTTTATATTTTAATTCAATTAAATTGTGCTAAACAGTATCAGTATCAGTATCCAATCAGTACAAGGATATTGAATTTATTTAGTAAATTAATACTACGAAAATTTTATACGTTTAATTTTTAAATAGTAACCAGAAGTAGTTTTTAATTATGTACTATTTGAAATTCCTACTTTGATGTTAAAACAAAGCGTAAAAGTCGCACAGCTCTATAAAACTTTACAAAGAAAAGGAGTTAAGGATTTTTCTAGATTACTTAGTCATCAGTGTCGGCGGAAACGGGGAGGGGGGCGGTGGGGCAGTCAGCCCCCGGGTGCCAAGCACCAAGCGGTAATAATGACAACTCACTCGCACAGTCAGAGAATACTTTTAGTCAGACAGAAGAATTACTCCGCAAAGACATACCAATAAAGAAATAGATACCAACTATAGTATATATACCTGCATACAAATATTATATCTTAATATGTATCTCAATTTTTTTTTACTTTTTTTCCTAAATAAATGAGTTCAGGTTAGGTAGTGCTTAGTTGAGGTAGTAACGCGATTGAAGAAGGTAAGTAGGGGCTCAAGTAGTTGTGTTGTTTAGTCTTACACTCTTCTAACGTCACCAGAAGAAGATCTTCGTTTAATAGTTCAAAATCTGACAAAAATCTACGATGAATTTTCTGAAGGAGATAGAATTTTGGAGATTTTACGACTGTGGTGCCACTTGGAAGCCGCCAGCATTTCTTCCCAAGAAGTGGTTCAATGTACTTCGTTGGAGCTTCTCAGATTCCCCATAAAATGGAGCTATTCTGAATCTGTTCCGAATTTAAGATTGTAATGTGTCTAAGATTTTTTTTACTATTAAGTTTCATGTGAAAGAAGCTTTCTAAAACCTAAGTTAATAAAATCTTACTTAAGGTCCACAATGAGCCAATTACGACTAACCAGTCTTTCCATTTTATCTACCGAAAAGGACAAGAAAGTAAATTTTGATAATGTAATAGAATATTTTAGCAAAATAAAGTCCCTTAAGCATTTTTAGCATTTTTTGCTTTACTTTGAGGGGTGCTTGATAGAAAACCACCCTGGGTATCAACCCACGCTACGCCACCACTGTCACCTTCAAGGTTCAAATGTATATTTAATGTATCAAGATTATTTATGTTAAAATTCTTATATATAATTTATCCAATAAAACGTGCTCGAGTGCTTTTACACTCCCACACCCGATTTCCTTTTACATGCATGGGCTGATTTTGCTTTACGGGAGACGGTTTTAACATCTAATAGTACATTTTCTTAATAATGGAACATACCTTGTATAATTCTATTTTCACGTATAAATGCTATTTAATATTTGTAAAAAAAAATGCAAAATATATTTATATTTCGACTTACCAGTAATATAATATGCAATAATATTTCAGGAGTGGTTTTTGTATTTTATGCGAATTTATTTACTAAAACGTCTCAATTAAAATTAGCACTGCCTAGAAAACACTGTCATGGTCAAGGTTAAACCATAAATGAAATGCTTTGCTAACCCCTTTACGTTATATCGTATTCGATGTGGAAAGCTAATGATTTTCTTCGTAATCATGAACCAAATCGTGTTAATAGATGGCCATAAACAGGTAACTATTTATGGAAACGCATGACAGAGCTCTAATATCCATTCATAGGTACAGATTGTTTATTCCGTTATGTTGTTTGTGAGGGTGTCTACTTTATGATATCGATTTGTTTTCTGTTTTTATAACTGAAAGAAATTAAACTAGATTTTTTTTCCAATAATTCTACCGATACTAAGGTTTATATAAGAAGTTCACGTAAAACAATCTTTGTTATCATCGAAGTTTAGTGTCACTAAAGTTCAGTGTCAATTAACAGCGACAGAATTATTGAATACTAGCTGACCCGGCGAACATCGTTGCACCTAAAAGTCGATTCTTTAATTTTTTTTAATACTTATTCTGCTATTCGGGACACCGGGAAATATTGACATTAATATTTATACGATACTAACGTCACTCAATTTTTTTGCCTTCCCGCAACCCCTCCACTAACACTTAAACCTTATAGTATGGTATTAAAGTTCAAAATGACTTTTAAGTGTTATTACGAATCTTTTGTATGGGAATATAGAAAAGTGTTGTTTTTAGACTTTTTCAGGCAATTTTTTAAAATTTTCTCTTCGTTAGAACCATCTTCGTACTTCAAGGAATATTATAAAAAAAGAATTAGCGAAATCGGTTCATCTGCTCTCGAGATTTGCGCTTAGCAACACATTCAGCGATTCATTTTTATATTATAGATAAGAAAAAAAAATAGAAAGCAAGGATGTTTATTGGTATCAGATGTTCAAAATTAAATTATTTTAATTTATAAATAAAAAAAAAATCCTATAACAATGTGATGGGAGTGTTTTTCCATTTAACCGACTGCCTCAGAAAGAGGGGTCTATTTTTCGGGTATATACAATTTCCCTTTGACTTGTGAACTTCTGTAGCCTTAACGGTTTGACGAAATTAGATGAGGTATCGAAATTCGCTTTCATCCCCTGTGTATCGTATACTACATTTTATAGAATTGATAATATGACACTTGTGAAAAGTAATGAGGTGATTGAAGGGCATTTCGTCTAAGTAATTTCAATAGTTATGCAGTTGGTTATTTGTTGTTCATTGTATGTTTATTGACTTAGTATAGTCTTCGCGCTAATAAGAATACAAAACAGCATTACGCAATAAAAATAAATAACAAAAAATAATCATTTTGATTCTTAATTGAGGATAAATGTATTTGGCCATAGCGTCCACTTACCATCAGGTGGACTGTATGCTAGATTATATATTACATAAATAAAGAAACGCAGTAGAACTTCATTTCTGCCTTGAAGCATCTTGGTAACACCCTTTTACATATTTTTGTTATGACATTTATTCCTCAGGGGTAAAAACGCATCAGTAGCTCAGCTGTGAGATATATATAGGTTGTCGCCCTTCTTTTTTTTTAAAAATAATAAGTATTTAAGTCAAAATTTAGATCAAAAAAGCTCTGTATTAAGTGATGGATCGAAAAAAATAATGTTCACATTCCACGTAGAGGATAGATTTATAGTTACAGCCTTAATGAACCTTCGATTTCTATGCTACAGTCACACGACAAATCTGTGAAGCAGTAAAATTGTGACAGATTTCAAAAACTACTTCTACTACTTCTAGACTCTGCGGAGGCTGGCTGCTCACTTAGCGGCTAAGTGAGCGGCCAGCCTCCGCAGAGTCTCCTTCACCTGAGGATGCCTGGTGTAGAGGCAAAACACGTGTCGTATTTTCGAGAGTGGTATGTCGTGCCTAGTGTGGTGGTGTGATTGACGGCGACGGGTATAGTGCGCGCGATTGAGGGAGGGTGGGAGGTTCCCTTAAAACTGGGCAGGACATATCATTTTCTTTCTTTCTTTACTCGGAATTAAGCAAATCAGCTTATAACATCTCAATTAAAATAACACTGTTGGACAAAATAATGTTAATAACAATTATATTGTAGAAAAATTGCAAAGAAAAAACAATTATTTAAATAGACAGGTATACAATCCCTTGTTGATGATATTCCACACATACAAACCAAATAATTTGCATGTTTAGAGCAAAGGAGTAAAATATCTGCTGGCCTTTATTCATCTGATTACAATGCGGGCGTTTTGCAAGGCAAGGGGGAATAGATTTTTGTTACGCTAAGACAGTGCGATTTACTATCTAGGGCTACTATCTTTCATCATCACCTACCACCAGTTGGGATATAGTCTAGCTCTGCCTTATACTAAGCAAAAGGTGCAGTGGTTCTTGTTGTTTTGAGAGTAAGTAAAACTATTTCAATTACTCTTAAATCCTTTATGCTCCAAATATATTGACGAAAAAGGCGGCTGATTTTTGCTACTATTATAGACGAAAAAAAATCTTACACTTTTTGTCGCCTAGCTCCCATCCATCAAACCCGTATCTTTATTTTTATCTTTGTTATCATCGAAGTTTAGTGTCACTAAAGTTCA